AAAAAATAACTATAGCATTTAAACTTATAATTTACATGAAGACCGCAGCTACTACCACATTATAGTAATTTTAAATATAAAATTTTCTCCGTGTAGTTGTAACTTTCTTTTACATTTTAAGATTAAATTCTAAAATTCTGGATTTCTTACACAGAAAGAAAAGATTGAAGTGTTAGCTATAGTCATATTACATGCTTAATATAGCCGCTACCATACTGTATTAATATTGCAAGTATACGATTATATATGGATAATCCAACTTTCTTAATGATAGCTTAGATCCGTCAGTTTAAATTGAGATTCTCAAATTTTTTAAATTTATATAAATTTTGTCACAATAGCGTAGTTATACTGTATTACTATTATAGTTGGACATGTATAGTATAATCCCACTATATATTAGATATGTATAAATAAATAAATATATATATATATTTTATGTATATTATGTATATAATAATATATTAATATTATTTTAAATTAGAGGCACATTCTAGCTTGATTGAATTTTTTTATTATGCATGAAAATTTAAGTTATCAGATTGGAAATTCTTAAATTTAGCAGTTTTCTAACTTTTATATATTTTAATTTAAAGATCGACAAGAGTGACTGGAGATCTTTGTCGGAGACAATTTCTTTATGCTAAAAGTATGGCTATAAAATACCGAGAAAATGTAATTGCAATGTTTGTAATCAAGAAAGTCGCCTAAAGGCTTACACGGCTTACATAGAGTTTTTGTTGAAAAAAAAAGTTAAAATAAAAATTCAATTTGATATCTCACTCGGTCTGCACCATAAATGTAGTTATTGTGATGCAGATAATTTTATTTGTTATAATGTTTTGAGAATTAAATTGCAAAATTCGGCTCTGTACATGCCTTCATAAGTTTTATAAAAAGAGAAGCTGAAAAGGTCTCATGACGCAATGTTACTTCTAGGAGAGAAAATATCAATATGAATGCGTATCTGTGTGCACCATGCAAGGTTTCGTACCTCATAAAACATACCTAAGTAAAAAAAGAGTTTTATGACAAAATATTATTTATTCTATGCTACAATATATGATGTAGTGCAGACATGGGTAACAAGCTGATGCTATTTGTCATTTTAACATCAAAATAACATCAGCTTATTATCTGGGGATATATAATACATTATGTATCTATATCACAAAAGGCGTACGTAAATTGGCTCATCACTCTTGTCGACCCTTAAATTATATTCTTACCATGGTAATTGAACGGTCAAGGCTTCTGGGCAATCTAGACTACATGAAGGGCAGGATGCTTCTTTAGGAATTCTTCGAAATGATCCGCAAGCTAAGATTACGCTCACAGACAAATAAAATAACAAATAGCGACAAGAAATTTGTCTCGACATACTTAAAAGATTCGAATAAAGAAACCCTGACGATTCTTTATAAGCTCGCATGTTAGGGATGCAGCGAGGACACACGATGTTGAGTACAAAAATGTTTTCCATGTTGTATCAATCGCTTCCTGTATACATCCGTTAAATTTTAAGTGAATTGTTTGCTTATTTCTTTTTCAATTTCTTAATATTCACTTCCTTATTCTTTAATCTTTAGGCAAGATAGAGGTGACGACATAATATCGCAGAAGTCTTTGGATGTAGTGAAAATACTTATACATTTTTTAAAAGAGCGTAAGTCTATTTTAAAATATTTTCTCTTTTTTGTAAATTGTTGAATTTTGACGTTAAAATTCATTTTGTAAAAATGAGTTTTTACATATAAGAAATTCGAGATTATTGTGAAAAATCATGGTATTATTTTATTAAAAAGATTATTTTAAGCTTAGAAAGCCTATCTCGGTAAAAAATTTTTCATGCATATATGTATATATAGATAGTATATAAATATATATATATATATATATAAATATGTATAAACATACATAAACGTGTGTAAATATTCATAAATATATAATTATGTATGAGATATGTACATACATGTTCATACATCCTTCTTTCATTTATAAAATTACTTGTTAGTGTACTAAAAATAATTAAAAGGAAAATTTTCGCATTGTTTGTTTTCGAAAAAATCAAGTTTGAAAAAATGTAAAAGAATTGCTCATATATAATTGTATGTAAAATTATCAGGATTGGGAAGTTAATTTTTTTTTGACTAAGTTAAGTTAAAGTTAACATCCTTGAAAATTTAACTTAATTAAAATATAAGTTAATCCATAATAAAATTAATTGAATTAAAAGTTAAGTTAATAAAAAAGTAATTAAAAAGTTAAAAGTTAAATTTGGTTCGAACAACCAAAAAAAAAAGAAAATATTTGACTATTTTACATAATTTTTCGTATTTTTCCTTTCTTACAGCTTATTTATTAAAGAATCTGGTTATTTTTGTTCACAAGTAACGATTATACAATATAAAATTACTAAATTATATACTCATTAGTCTCTTGCATTGTATCTAATTTAAAAAAATCAAATTAAAAGTTAATAGTTACTAATAAAATATAACTAAATTAAGTTAATAAAAAGTTAAGAGTCTAAAATGCAACTAAGTGTGTGTGTGTGTTGAGTTAAAATTAATTAACTTTTTAATTTTATAACTTAACTTTTATCTTTTTAACTTAGTATTATCCAACCCTGAAAATTATATATAGTTATGTATGAGCAAATTTTTTTGCATTTTTCTAAACTTTATTTTTTCTAAAGCGTATAATGCAAAATTGTCCCATTAACTATTTTTGATGTTTTTTCAATATTACTATTTTTAATACATTAAAAAGTAATTTTACAAAAGAAAGAAAGATGTATGAACATATTTCATGTATAATTATTAATTATATATATTTATTTATATTTATATATATTAATTATATATATTATTTTGAATATTTATGCGTGTTTTTAGGTATGTTTATACATATTTATATACATACATTCTTGTATAAAAAATTTTTTACCGGGATCTTAAAATACATTTTTGTCAATTTTTGCCCGATAATGCCATCAAGCTAAGTAAAATAAAAATACTGGAAAAATATCAACTTAAAAATTTTTTTTAATAAAGTCAGAGAAACGAAATAAAAAATAAATTTACAGCTCTATCTCTTTTCTTTAAAACATTTTTTAAAACTTCTGTATAATTTTTTTACACCGAAATATGTACGTATCGTATGTTCTAATATAATATATTGTATATGTTCTAATATAACATAATATACACTATAATTTAATAATTTTATAAAATAACTAAGAACAAACAAAATTAGTTATTGTATAGTTTATTACGGGAATTCCAATATTGTTATCTTTAATAATTTTAATTCTGCATCAAAGATGCTAGAGTGGAAGGATTATTTCGACGAGCAGGACGTCGTGAGGTTCGACAACATATCCTGAATTCTCTAAAGAAAGGGCATAAACCGCATTTTGAAAATTCAAATAATGCTGCTCTGGAATGTGCGGCAGCTTTACAAATTTTTCTCAGCCGCTTAAAGAAACCAATTATGCCGCAGCATGTGCAAGAATTGATTCTTGGTAAATATTAACAACGATAAATAAGGAGTGAAGATATGATAAATGTATAAGAAAACAACGATGAATATTTCTCGTAATAATTGATTTGTCGTTTGAAAATGACGTTCAAATTTGTCGTTTAAAATGCAACGTTCATCGAAAAACGTTTACAAATTCAGTGTCAGCAGAACGTTCTGGTGAATTACGGCATCGTCAAATCTAAAATTAAAATTTTGATGACAAATGAGTCTTTGATGATTTGTAATCTTTAATCTGTATACCTAATTGGGTATTAGTATAATAAATTTTCAATTAACGTGTATAAATTTTCAATTTGTAATATTGAAGATATTTGGAGAACTTTGTATATTCTGTGAATGGTATAAATATAAATTTTAATATTTATATATGATCAGCTGATAATCCAGGTGTAGAAGCACAAGTTATTGCACAAGATGCTCTAGGACTTATTAGACAGGATGTCGGCGGTCGTCATTGCGAGCTCTTGACTCATGTTTTGGATCTTTTAAGGCACTTAACTCTCTCAGGACCTCCTTCCGAATGTTCCGAATTGCGTGGATCTCCATTACCTGTTGCACTTTTACCAGTGTTTTTTAATTTATCCGTAATAATATATTATTTATAATATCTCATTAGTCCATCGCATCAATTTATTTTATACAAAAATTTTCAGCGTTAAAGATCTTATACAATTCAATTTACTCTTTTTAACATTGAGAATTTTACTTAGATATTAAACTCTTAAATATTTATTTTTTATTTCAATTGAAAAAGAAGGTAATTATAATGCATATTAGGAACTAACAGATTTTAATGACCTTGACATATGTGTGACCTCCAACCGGGTTTAGCCATCGTTATTCGTTAAAAAGTTATGAACAAAATAAATTTTAAAAATAACATCTTTTTTCTACTACACATAAAATAAAAATTGTCTATTTTAAAATAAATCCCTCTTCTGCCAAGAGGCGCACGATTTTCATACGAAGCTAGTTCCACCGAGGGGGTAACCACTTAATGTAATCGTGGGACAGTCCTCAAAATCATTATAAAATTCATATGAAATCTGTACGTATAATCCGATAATTACATACGCAACCACGAGAAATCATTGTATAATATTAAAATTAATTAAATAAAATTGTACATTTTACCAAATTACTTCATATATAGTGAAAAAAATTATTTGTAATCAGATGAAATCATATGAAATCATGTAATCTGCAAGACAATATTTCAGCTAGTGGTTACTCCCTCGAGTTCCACCTCACCTTCTACCCTGTGAAGGAGCGTGCGCTTTCTATCTATATATGGACTGTTCATAAGAAAGAAGCTACAAACTATGAAACGCTAAACATGGGACGGTATTCATAGTTCGTTTTTATTTTAAAACTATCTTAAATATAATGTTTTAAAATGCTAATACAGTCTTCGGATTGACTTACAATATCTTAAGATTGTAGCCCTTGAATCTCATGAACATCCATAGATAGAGAGGGCGGAGATTTAGAGAGAGACACCATCCAACTGCACACACCATGCTATCTTTTCCACCATGGATGTGAGTGATGTGTGCAATTGAACTGTGTGCAAGTGCACCGCTTCTCAAATTAAAAAATTCGTGATTTTTTATTATATAAATACTGTATAAATAAATATGCATACTTTTAATGCTATATCTTATATATTGCCCAAAAATTATAATTTTTCTCTACAGTTATCATCCCTATTGATAATCAAACTCGGATGATAATATTAAAATCATAGTTTTAAATCAAAATCGAGTATTATGAAGTTTTAAACATATGTACATATCTATGAAATTAATAAATCATGAAATTACTACCGTATTATTAGTTTTTTACTTTTAATCACTTAAATTTTAAGAGGCACGCGAACTTTTATAAGCGCCGACTGTCTTTATATAATAGTATCTCGTCGGTGCTCAAGGTCATGATCTTTACAACATATGTCATTAAAATCTGTGAGGTCGCTCCTAATATGCGTAATTATCCTGGTGAAAATTTTTCATATAACTTTTCAGAATTTCTATATAATTTTATAATTTTCTAACATTTTTTATACAAATTGGAATATTTTTCAGAAAATCTACATCTTTTCTCATAATTTTTCATATGTTAATTATGAAATATCGTAAGATTTCTAAGATTTTTTGTAAATATAATTTCTGATAAAATGTTATAAAATTTAAAAAATTTGAAAATATTAAAAAAAAATTATGTGACGAGAAATGTCAGAATATTTCAGAATTCACTTGTATGAAAAATTCTAAGAAAAGATATAAACTTTCCGAATATTTCTGAGTATTTCTGAAAAATGTTCCAATTCGTATAAAAATTATGAGAAAAATTTTCACCAGGATACCAAACAAAATTACGCATTTAAATCCTCATAAAATGCATTATATTAAAAGTTTCTTTCATATAATTTATTTTGGTCTCATTTATAGCCTGGTGATTTAATAAGATGGAAACAAGTGGCGGCCAGATTCAGCGAATTAATTACGGAAGCCGCTGCGCAACTCCGTCGCGATGTACAACGTAACATTTATACGGAAACTATAAATTCCATGACGAGTTACATCGACGTAAGAAACCTTTACTGGAAAAGCAAAAATCCATTAACATTTCCTTAAAAATCCATTAACATTTCCTTAACTTAATTTTGAGTCATATTTAATTTAATGTAATTGTTTTTGTCTTAGAATAATTTTTTTGGTGAAAAATAGCCGCTATCATCCGTATTATGCATTTTTAGACAGCTTCGACCTCACAAGAGGAAGATGAAGAATTAACGAGATGGCAAGAGTTTTCGTTGTTGTATCCTTTTGTTCGACTTAGAGATCATTGTAATATTTGTAAGATATTAATTAATTTTTATTTCACTAATATATAGATATCCACTATTATTTCGTAATCACTATTAAATCGTATTCGTGATTATTTCAGGGAATGGAAGTAACTCGTTACTTGTAACGAAGTTACAGTTACAAGTTACTTTTTTGGTAACTTTACTAGTAACTGCGTTACTTTTTTTCTTTGGTAACTGTAACGGTAACGAAGTTACATTTTTTTGGTAACGGTAACGAATTTTACAGTTACGTTTATCGTTACTTTGCACATGATTGGACACGATACGACACAAGCCAC